AATTGCACATAATTCAAGAATATGTATATATTTTATTTATCATATACGCCATATAAGACAGCGTTGAAAAAGAAAACATAAGCAAACGCCAGCAACACAAAACATTACGATAGAACAAACAAATTTTGAGAAAGGGGCAGCTATGCTTGTAAAACATTTTTGGCAAATGCTCGTTTGAAGGAGCTCAAAGAGCTATAGATGCTAGGAGCCTTGCAGGTTTGCAAGTATGCAAGACCAGCCCTTACCGTGAAGAAGTTTCTTCTTAGGGTTGTTTTGGGCCTAGAGAAGATAATTTGAGCTGATTACCCCTTGTTTTGGAAGGAATCAATGAGTAGAAATCCGAAAAATTTACGAAAAATTTAGAAAAAATTAATATGTATATATTAACCTCCGACCATGAAAAACACGTAGTCTCCTTTGAGGATGTTTGAAGAACTCTAAAAAAACGCAACTGCTTACTTGCTAGTTTAAAACTTCGCACAATTTGTTTGCCTGATAAATCAATGGCAGATAGCCATATCCTTTCAGAAAAAAGGAGTTCGTTTCATGTGGAAAAATTGAGGCATTGCGTGTTTTCGTGAGTAAACATATTGACCAGCCCTGTAAAGTTCTTTTTATATGAATTTGCCGAAAATTTTGCAATATTTCAGTTTTCTCTGGAATATTCTGGAAATGTTTGTAGCATTGCTATGTATACAAGGACATTACTTCTTGTACCGTGAATGACATAACCAGATACCTATTACTTGCTTATTTAGCCATATAATGTTCCTGCTATCTACCCATATCCAACATGAACTTCTTGGCGAGACCTAATCTGGGCGACTCCGTCGCCGAAACTCATTAATACTTATGTCAAGCATTTGGCCTTGGGATTTCTTCTAAGTGGTTCCGTGCACACCTGATTCACACATTTCAAAGATTGGAACTATTGAGTGGAAGAGGAGTCTCGTTCTGGTCGACCGACTGNGTATCCTGGAGTCTTCGTATATGTTATGCATATGCAATACAGTAGTGGACTTTAAAATTAGTTCTAGGGAAACTTATCATGGAAACTTCCGGAAAATTCCAGAAAAAAACATGGATTTTTTTAAAATTCTTGAAGAACACTTCCCAAACACCCTAATAATATGGTATCATTGACTGATCATCCATTTCCATAATACTCTTGCGGATAGCGTTCTTCTATTTTGTTCTGCCTCGTTGCATGCTGATTTTTGCAGCAGTTCTATAACAGCAATTTGAAAGCACAAAGAAAAGCACAGTTTTCAGAACAAAGCGAAATAAAATAAATGGCAAAACATCCCCCACTGGAACCTCTCACCCATAACATTCAGGTAGGCACAAATGAGGCATCAAGAGGTACTTGATTCCCCGAAAACATTTGTTGTTGTTTTCGCTCTTTCGAGCCCATCTTTCACCAGTGCGAGCGACACCAGCCATCCCTACTATCCGGGCTCTCTACTTCAACGCCTCTTTTTGCAAATGACAAGGAATGATCAGGAAAGACGACGAAAGCATTGAGGCACTGTTATATTCTAAAAGTCCAGTTCTGCCAAAAATGCCAAGGTTCTAGAATGTCACAAAATTTCCCATGAAAATATTCTAGGGAGACACTTTCCGCTCGCTTAGCGTATCCGCACATTTCATCATATGAGGTAATTGACCAGATGGAGGCTCATCTCCGTTAAACCCCGCTTTCGGCTTGAAACATTGGAATGAGGCATGCACAGAAGCGCTCAGCAGGGGTTCCAAGGTCACATAGTTAACACAAGTCTTGATGGCTTCATCAGTGGAGCGGGTGTATGCTTTTCTGAAGCCATTTTCTATGAATATTGCGGAAGCACGTACAACTCAATTTACTTGAACAGCTGTATTACTCCGTTACTGGTAGCCGGTCTAACTAATCGGGGCGCTTATCGCAAAAACATTTGTTTCGGTTCAGAAACAAGTGAAGATTGAGTAGCATTGCCAGAGTATTACGACTGCTTCTAGAGTGACCGATGAATTGATTGCTCTGTGGGTGAGGCAAGCTCTGAGCAGAACTTAATAGTAGAAGCCTGGTTGACTTCAGAACAGCTAAAATTGGTAGAGAACCACATGAAATAGATAAAATTCAGGGCATGGACGGAGCAAGAAAATTCTTAGTAGGCAGGGCCTGATAAGGGTGAGGTCTGCACTCAGAGTGCATTCAGCAGCATAGAGACCAATAAAAAACCTCAGAACAGGGTGCTAACATCACCGTCAAAGGAGAAAAAACGTCAGACAATCCAGGCTGTCCCAAAACAAGAGGCCAACTGAGTATTGGTATTTTATGAAATGGTACAGAATGGAAAAACCTTAGTTACACCTGTAACACCAACAGGAACACTCGCTACAAAAACCAGGTTCTTACGGCTATGGGTGCATTTGAGCGTCCGGAGATGTGCGCTGCGAAATTCATGGCGGTTTTGACGGCTCTGGCGCTTGGGCCACAGGTTCAAAGTAAAGAAGATTAATGGGATTAGTTGATCCTACTTACCAACTACACTTCAAGTTGCCCTAATGACAGGAACCAGAGTCGTAGAAGTCACCACGAATTTCGCCGCGCAATTTGCCTCGCACAAATGCCCCGTCCCTCGCTTTTTACGCTGACCTTATGGTGGAATGAAATGCAATGGGCGCAAGGCTTCACAGAAAGCATATTGCAATCCACGACATTTCCATTTGAATGCACACATCCTCATTTCGTCACATATTATTCACTGCGCACCAAAACAAGCTTATGGCTAGCCACTTGGCCGTGTTGCATCGATAGGCGTTCGAGCCGCGTCAACGGCCGAGTTACTGTAAGAATCGGGTTCCCGCACTGTCCTTCCGTTCCTTTCTTTCCTGTCTTGCACGGCTAGTTTACGACTGTGTACGTACACTTACTAGAGTTCTATTGAATAAAGCTGTATGCCCCACATTAACCTCCTCCCTCCTGCCTCTCTCCCTCCTTCCCCAATGTTCTTTGGGTCCCAGGCTCACTGCTTTTATGAGCTGTTCGGGGCTTTCGAAGTCCTTTCGCGGCTCTTACAGATTTCTTCAAGTTTTGTGAACTTTTCATCATCAACGTTGCAGTTGCTGACGCTACACAGAGAAAGTTGCTGAGGCTTTCGCAAGTCTACAGTGAGGCAGCCACAAGAAACTCCGCGTGAACTTGCGAAGTGTTTGCCATAGGGTTCAGCTTACACCACCACCGATCACCTGTGTGCGTGGAGCAAGGTGTTCACAATGGCGCCATGGGTACCCAATTTTTCAAAAACAGGGAGAAGTTATCATAGGACCTTTCATTTGCCCCAAACACTGATGCTACTGGAGAGTTACGTAAAGCCGACCGATTGTAGCGTTTATACGAGTGCTCTGCTTATTAAAGTTAACCCTCCCGACTAACGATACAGCAGAGAACAGTGTATCAGGGATTTGCTGTCAAAACATGCAATTTCGTCGTCAATAAAGGTGTCAGTCATAATAGTATGTATAATACTCACAAAATGCAATGAAAAATTTTATTGGTACACAAACTTCTATCGTCGAGTTCCATCCTCGAAGAACACTCCTCCATCGATGGCACAGTATTTTGGACAGATTCCCCTCTCTCCTTTCGTTCCCGGCGTACCCGCTGGACCTGGTGCCCCGGCATGACCGTCAGATCCAGGTGCACCTGGTGATCCAGGAGTTCCTTTAGGACCAGGAGATCCAGGTGTTCCCTCACCTCCAGGTTGTCCATCTGATCCTGGCTGCCCGGCAGGACCAGGTGGTCCAGCGGGACCGGGTTCTCCTGGCACGAGCGGTACTGACTGCGCTGGTGCACCAGGTTCTCCAGGAGCTCCAGGGCCACCATTCGCACCAGGCTGGCCAGGCGGTCCCTTCGGGCCAGGTGCTCCTGGAGCGGCGTCGTTTCCTCCATTTCCTGCTTTTCCAGGTTGACCAGCGTCTCCAGGTGGTCCTGGTGGGCCCGCAGGTCCTCGTGGCCCTTGAGGACATTGTTTGCAGGGAGGCGGGGTAATAGGTTCACACGGCTGAACAGGAGGTTTTCCTGGCTGGCCTGGTGTACCCGGAGCTCCAGGTCTACCCGGTTTACCAGGTTGTCCTGGAACACCGGCTGGACCCGCTGCTCCTTTTACGCAGCAGGATTCGCAACCACCACGACCACCACGAGAGGGTTTATGAGACTCGACAGCATCATCTCCGTAACCGGCTTGGCGTGCAGTCCTGTTGGATCTAGGCTGAACTGCAATCTTAAGAGTGTGCACTTCAGACCAGATATCCTTTGAGGCGGCCTGCAATTGCTATGTTATGGCGGAATTTGAGATCATTTTTACGTAGAAATGAGAACAAAAACTAACCCTGCAGGAGACGATTTCGTTTTGCATGTGTCTTTTCACGTGGTGTACATACTTGTATACCATTGGCAAAGTGATACAAACAGAGAGTACAGCGACGACTGAGAAGGCTACTGCCGAATAGGCGACGAACCGATAAGCTTTGACCCTCGTCTTGAGGTCCATCTTTTGGAATGCGAAAGAAGAAGTGAAGGGGAGCGGTGGAGACGGGCGCTTTTTAAGGATGCTCACGAAACCGGCTGAATGAATGTCCAAAACTGGTAATGCATAGTTAGCTGAGCGCGCGTCAAGTGCTTCGTAATTGAGATAACAACAGCACGACCGAAATGACTTGATTTACAAACAGCCGTCGAACACTGCACCCTCCTCCTGCTGCGCAACACTTCAGTCCACCTCTTTCGAGCATGCGCGGAGGCTTTCCAGTTTGGTGACCTCGCGTTTAAATTATAAGATTGAATGCTAGGAGATGAATGCTCGCAATAAGTCGACCTCTCATAGGTTAGGGGTAACATTGTTTTTGGGTCNTGGTTGTTATCTGATCGGAGTAGCTGATTTGCGAGGATTATCGTGATGATCTCTTCCCAGGCTTTCGTTTCATAACTCACCCAGTCCACCTTTATAACGCTGAGAGGGCTTACTTTTATCCCTTTCGCCTGGAGACTTATCGAAGTTCGAAGCCACCTGCTCAAAGGCTATTCAATGACGCCGTAAATATAAACAATTGAAAAATAGATTGCAATCATTTAGCAACGTCACAAAATCGACATTCTCTTGAATTTGGTTTGTCAAAAGGCAGTCAATTAGCGAATTTCACTAAAATGCGCCAGTCCTGCTCTAACCATTGGTATCTCACAAATATCAGCTCTTCAAATCGAAGATATCATTACGGATAACAACTGAAATCGATTTCTAGAAATGCACTGCTTACAATCTTTCTTCCTATAGTTGCGTTTGGAAGTTCTTGAATGATATAAGATTCCCACTTGGAAGGCGGGAACCCGTGACGTCTCGAGTGGCACACCATCATTTTCAACTGAGCAGTGGTGCTACCGTAATCTCGATGTTTCGTATTCACATTCGAGAGTCCGGATATTGAATTTGAAGGACGGAGCTCTCATCCCAAACATTTCACGCTGGAAGTTAATGACTGCAAAGAAGTGGCCCTGGTTGAAAGCTGATGTTGGTCAAATGAAAGGTGTAAATGCCCGAAAGGAGTTCCGTTGCTTTGTCACAACTTTCGAGTCGAATTTTAAGACTCTTCTCTTGAAGAGCATGCTTTCTACCGTTTTAAATCCGTCTAAAGAAGTTAATACACAGATAACTTAAACATTAAGCAAAGTTGGTGGGCCCAAGTCCTCATTTAGGANGTGAATGAGATCCCGAGCGAAATATTCTTTGTCAGATGCAGCTTCGTGTGCTTTGCTGGAAGTGTTTACTTGATTGGCAGTGATTTCTTAGCCGTTTCGTGGATTCCAGTTCCAGCGCCCGGTGTGATTCAGCGGTCTCAGCAAAGCTAAAAAGAGAATGCGAAAACAGCTAGTCATCAACCAATTTTCACTACGAAATATATGACGCTGATCTCTGCGTTTTGAAGAGTTTCGGTAGTTTTGAAACTCAGGCTCTACAATACTTTCATGAGCCTTTCAAATGTAATTATGTTTCAAAATGGAATCAAAGGATAAAGTTTCATTACCAGTTCATTACCAGAAACCTCAAATCCTAAGAACTGGGTGGATTCCCCAGCAAGTTAAAAAGTTTCAAGTCTTGTGCTTTCATCAGTATCGTCAGAGGGATGCTACTCCATTCGCCTTCTTTCCAGAACCGTAGTAGCGCTCTGAAAGCGCACAATGACTTGCTGTTGTAAATCCAGATAAAGATAGACACCAGATAAATCTGGCAACAATTAACCTTTGTGTGTATATGCTTGTGTATGTGTGTGTGCATGTGTGTGCCTCTTGCCACTATACCAGCTCGGCCCTAAAAAAGTAAATACCACTAAAAGGTACTGACACACACTTAATGTGATATGAGTAATGAAGGGAATGAGTGGAGAGGAATTGAGGGCAACTTGTTTTTATGGGACTGGTTGGCAGTCACGAAAACATTGTACNTTTCATTTACAAATTATAGGAGAACTTAAGAATTTCTACGTCTACGTTTTCACGCAAAAAAAAACAATCAGTCACGATCAGTTGAACTGTTAAATCACCTTCAGGTCACAACGAAAACAAAGTCCCGCTCCACTTCATCGTCTTCTCCATTGCGAGCATTTAGATTTGCCCGTTTAGATTTTCCTCTGCCTAGAAATGTCGTTTAAATGCAAAAGCTTGAAGAGTCCCATCGCCTCGGAAAAGGTACTGGCCGAAGTGTGTTCGCACAAAAATCGTGTAGTCTTTGGATTTTTTTCAACAATCCTCAGCGGGAATTCCAATTCCATCAACGCTAATGGCTTATTCCTGACTCGTTCCTCACCGGAGTTGCGAGGAGAAAAGATATAAGCTCCTTGTTCGATTCACGTAAACTCTACCCCCACTCTACCGGTTGCATTTGTACCTGTACCTGACACAATCTTCTGAGATTAACATTTTCTGATCTGTGATATGGCTAAATACGGTATGGCTACATCGTCATGCAGAATCACCTTTTTGAAAACTCCTTTGTAATTCGACTTTGCAAAACAAAACCCTGCCGCTTAGAACCTTTTTCATCAGTTCGCTGTGATACTACCGCTTCTTTCCACCGCTTCTCGAACTATAGACTCCATCATGACGAAGCACATTCAAGCGAATATGATTTAAGCGAATATGGTTCAAAGAATAGGAGATCCTATAATAGCCCTCAAACTCTTCGCTCATTGTTGGTGGTGATGGATCTCCAGTGTGTCGCTTAATATCTCTCTCACTGATTGTAAGTTTCACGAGAAGCTTGGATCGGTCTTTTGTGGAAAGAGGACAATCATGAATGACGAGGATGCAGTTAACCTATTTATATAAAAAATCATCTCATCATTCTACGAACTCCAAATTTGTTTAGTTCTCGTCAGGGATTGTGCACTTCACTTCAGTCCCTCTCCTTCTCTTCAGTATGGCTTCATAATTTTATTTCGGAACGTTGTAAAAGTGAGGGATAGTCATCACGAGTTTATGAAAAATTAAAAAGGCCAGACCTTTGCAATCCACAAAATTTGACCGAACTGTTTCTTCAATGTAACCATGCAGAATGAAGAGACAATCGGCCATTCCGGTTGCTTCATTGCACAAGGGACACCGTGAGGATGCACTGAAAATGTTGATGAAGACGTTTTCGAAAAGAATGGCAGTCTGGATGCCGTTGCTTTGTTTGAAGGCTTTTTTTGCCCAATCACTTATTCAGAGAGTTTAAAGTCCTCTATCATAAACCTCGGCATGGTTGTAACTTGATTTGGTTTGTTTTGAATTCTTACAGGGTTGTTATTATAAATTCATTAGCTCGGCAGTAGCGCCTTCGTCAGAGCTTAAAATGGATCAAAATAGTTTGTGGATATCAGATCGAAGGTCTGCACTTCCCTACGAAAGTTCAGGGCCCTTAGGGCACGCATATACCTGGGGAAGGGCCACTCACATCACTTCGTGGATCTTTCGCATCACACGGCAACCGATTGTAGGAACACTGGGGTCTTTATCGAACCCAAGAGAGAACCCAAGAGGTAGCATGAGATTTGTTTTTTCCACCCTAAGGTTCCCTCACAGTTGAAGACTAATTAGTCCGGAGTCAGAGATGGACGGAAATGGATGTGAAGCACATGGAAGGGACCGAATAATGCAGGTCTGTCCTTGATATACTGCTTCTGCACCATGCGACCTGTTTTCACAGCAGCATTCAGGCAGCTCTTAGCGTCATTGTTGTTGAAATGGCTGTAGAAGGTGAAGGATGAATTCGTCGGCATCAATCAACTCCGTTTCTCGGATGCGTGACTGCTTTGGATTTCCATTCACACCTGTAGTGGAGTATTGGATGCTGTTGGGCTACACCATGGCTTTCAGTGACCAGCACATGCTCAATTCAATGCTTTTATCAACTCGAACGAGTATGATACCAGTCGATGTCCCTGGAGGGATACAAGCCTCGGTTGGCCTGACTGTAGCAGCTGGAGATATAAAGCAAACTGCGAGGTTCATGCACGGCGAAATCAGAAAAGAACATTTTTATTAAGCAACGTACATATTAAGTGCTTCAGCGCCCCAATATTCAGCTCTTTGTCAAAGCAAACTTCTTTTATGTGCAAGATCACTCTGGATAACGGATCTCTGGTGATGGTTGGCTCAACAGAAATGGCGACGAGGAATTTCACTTTTTCTATTGAATTTCTTGCACTAGTCGAGCCCTTCGCAACACTCTTCGATTCCGTCCTCATTTGATTCCAAGCTAAAAAAGGTGTCAGCAACACGCTCATCCAAACCGGAAGGCCAAAACGATGAGGTATCTTGATGAGCGTATCATAGATACCAATAGTAAGTTCTTGTTGTCTAAAGAAGATATTACCTGTTTGACGTATAGATATTGTAACCATTAGTGAGCTTAACGCACCGTAGAAAAATCGGTGCTTTTAAGAACTGTTTCCTAATAAAAATAGAGTCATTAGAAATGGCTGACTCAGTAATAGAGATCAGAAGAACACTTCAAAACGGTAGACAATTTGGAGTAGCCCTTTTTGAGCAAATTTCGAAGATACAAATGAGCTAATGCTACTCCTCAAGTGTATTTTTCAAACAAATTGACGACAAAGTAGTCCATTGAGGGTTACAGTTGTTTTCTTATTCTATTATTCAACTATATTTCCATTTTTTGTTACTTTGTTCTCGAACTATTAGATCAAGCCTAAGTGAAGCTATATACTGCCTGATACCAGAAGATGTTGTAGGTTTGATACCATACCTGTGCCTGTGTACATGGATATATTCAAAATTATCTTTTTCCGAAAGAAACTCTTCGATGCTCACATTCTTGCCGTAATTCTAGTACTTCATGACCTAATAAAATGAGGTTTTGTAAAGACCATCGCCATTAGCACCTTGACTTTTACGGACTTAATGCGAAGTCCTCAAAAACTACACGAAACGAATCCTGGATGTAAGTGACTGAGCGACCGCCAAGGGCTACGATCAAAAAATAAAAAACAGCAAGTG